ACCGCCCAAGGCAGATCTTATGGCCTTTAGTCCGTGTCTTCCTCCCGGTCTGGACAGAGAAGTCGGAGAGGAAAGGCAGGACGCAGAATCAAACCACCCTGGCCAGGTGAGTTCTATAGATTCTCCCCTTTTTTGAAGTCTATGTTAAAGTTTTAAAAATCCATTTTCTTTCATAGAAAAGTTTAACGAGTACTCTGTATTTTGAGTATTATTTTAAGGAACAATGTTTGTTAGTGAAATACGAAACTCATACCCAGTTTTAATCATGTAAAGTATTAGGATTTTAGCCAATATGTGTCCTAATTTTCCTAATAGGAACTTGTTAGAATTTGTTTACAAAGAATGATACAAGACTGACTTTCCTGTCATCACTTCATTAGAAATAATTTCCAATTTTCACTGATCTACCGATGTCATTTCATCTCTAATAATCATTAATGTAGCTAATCACTACGGATTATTTAAATTTTACTCATCCACTTTGTTTTTTTAACAGAATTTTGCCTTGATATTTTCACATTATGAGATCACTTGACTTTTCTCACTTCAGGCTTGTATAAAAATTGAACATTTTAATTTAAGTCTGAAAGGATTTTCCTTTTTTAGTCCTGTGGATTTATACATTCATCAAACATTTATTGTCGGGTAAATAATCCTTGGTTTTGCCTCTATAAGTAAGACTTGTTTTCGTATTATTTGCAGTAAAAGAAAATGCAGCCTTTGTTCTAGTATGTCTAGTATGTTTTCACTGAAATTATCTAGTATTATTTCATTGAAATAATATAACTAAAAGTTCTGTGCATTTTAAATTTTGTTCCATGAAATTAATATAAATTTATCTACTGCATACTGAAACAGAACTTCCATGTTTATGCTTCTACAGTAACTAGGCAATTAAAGTTATTCATATTACTCAATCAAGTCACAGGCATGCCTATAGGCTTATAATATCAGTCTGTAATAAATGCTAGCTGGCATTATTTCCTGAGTTTCTGGATTCATCTAGAAGGAAAAAGTTAACTACCAAAATGAAGCCTGTTGACAATTAGTTTCATTCATCTCACTTTTTAAATTTCCTGTCTTTAAATGCTTTATTGCTGGGGTTTGTGAAATTTTCTTTCCATGTGGTATAATGACATCTGAAGAGTCTAGCAAAGATAATTTACCTCTCAATAATTCTTCTAATTCAGTGATTCTCAGTTACATGTAAGGTGGCAGAAAAACTGACTTCTCTGAGAATATGATGAAAGTCGTATGTTGCCATTCTCCTCTTAAAATTGCAGTGTACCACTTGGCATAATACTCAAGAACCCCATGCTGAAGCTCATACTCAAACCTTTGGTCAGGAAACTTTGTATCTCAATATTGTCTAAAAACATTCTTAATTATTCCAAAATATAACATAATATATATAATATAAAATATTTAAAAATTATATAAAACATAAAATGTCTCAGACTCAAAAGTGATTAAACCTTCATATCACTTGTGAAACTTTGTAAATATAAAGAAATGTGAATGTTAGGTAGGACACACTTTATTAGCCACCTCCAAATGAATTTCTTGGAACTACCCAACATAATTTAAATTTAATAAACAAAGATATTGGAATGTTTTAAATACAGGTTAAATTTTTGCAAATTGTTACTTTTTACATAGCACATAAGTAATCAATACGCATTTTAGATAATTCCAAATACATGAATTACACTCTACAAATGTTGTGTCTTTTATGCTTATTTTAAATTTTAGGTTTACATTCTATGATACAAAGTTGTTATTTCATCCTATTTTCTAGTTTCATTGTTTAGGTATTAAGCTAAATTTAGATGTTCCTATCTGTTTAATAATTTATGTCTAACAATGTGTGAAGACTACATAGACACTGGTAAAGTTACTTAGCAGTTATGGTACATTGACTGTTTTTGAAAATGAATATAAAATGCAGAAGCTTGGTGATGATAGAAATTCAAAT